TTATCGTCTATAGTCTCTAGTACTACTACTCTCCTCTTTATCTTAAGTCGTACGACGAGAAGAAGAGGGTATTTAACGATAAAGTAGCCTCGTTAGTCGTAGCGAAGATACGCTCCGAGCTCTCTTTTCTAGTTAAGTATCGTTTACGATACCTATAAAGCTCTCTATAGTCCCGCTAAGGACGCTATAGCTTATACTATCGACGTTTAATTTATTTTATCTTTTATACGACTAGTAGTACCGAATAGGTTACTCCTAGATATCTTCTCTCTAGCTTTCTTCTACTGAAGAGCCTCTAGATTTATATTAATCGTATAGAGGAGAGTATAGTACTCCCTATAGATTAATAGAATTAGCGTTATAATAAGGGCGCTCTTTAGGTCGTACGAAAGATAGTTTAATATAAATATCTTCTTTATCGAGTCGGCCTAGTCTAGTCCGCCGATCTCGAGTAGCGTACGATTAAACTCGACGAGAAATACGCTAAAGGACTTTCCGTCCTACTTTAGCTAAGAAAGCTTCTATAATACTCTTTCTACGGCGTCGACGTCCTCGTACGCCGCCTTTAATTAACTAATAAGTCCTTTCGTATTTATTTCGAGGATTAATTATACGGAATTAACCTACGAGCTAATCTAGGTAAGGGCGTAGCCCCTTAGTCTACTATAGAGATACTAAAATTGTACGACTTCGGTTTCCTTTTACTTATCGACCGCTAACTTAGCTCGAGCTTAGGTAAGCTACGACCGAAACTTTAATCTTTTTCTATTAAATTTAGCTAGCTTAGGAAGCTTAGCCTTTCGTCGTATAGAGTCGGATTTCTATATAGCGCTCGCCGTCGTAGAAGTCGTTACTTTAGGCGTACGAGCTCGTACTCTATTCTATTAGCCGAGTTAATTCTCGAGTACTATTATCCTTTAGTTTTAAGTCTATAAGAGCTAGTATAGCTCTACCGCCTACGCTAGAGCGGTTTCCGTTAGTTACTATTCGTTATCTATTTCGTACGCGGTACTCTTTCGCTATATACGATAGGAAGCTTTAGAATAATATAAGGATTTAGCTAGGAATTTAGAGTAATTCGTCTAACTACCGTATAACGAGGATTCTAAAGCTAAGGAGAG